CTACACCTGCACATCAACTCCTACCTCCTGATGTCAGGGCCTATATGCAACACTTTCAGGAATTTATTGAAAGACCAGAAGCGGAAATAGAAGCAAAGGGGCAGGATATCACTATGATTGAGCCTGCCTTATTGGGATCCTCGGTTGAAATGAAGTTCTGTGCGACGAATGGAATTTTATTATCTCCTGTGGTAATCACTAGGATATTGATTTTTAGGAAGTGTCGTAAGGCGCGAGCTGGTATTTTTGCGGTTAAATTGGTGCCATCGTGAGGCTAACTGGTGCCATCGTCGACCTCCGAAAGCCCAACTTTCAACGGCTGCTGGAATGTTCAGCTTAGACTTGAATCCTGAGATCTTCGAAAGCCATGGATTTGCGAACCGTTAGTACCTTCGTATCGACCTTATTTTGAGACGGGTACTATATCGGACTGCTTTTACAACTTCCAGATCTACCAACTAGCTAGCTGAATCGCATTTGATGATCGATTTTCGGCTCAATATCTTTGGAATCTAGGTTTTACCTTTAATGAAATCTTTGGTGATATCAATTACCAATATAAAATTACCATTAGAAATTATTTACCTGGAATTATTTTTTCAATATAAAAATAATATTTAAAAACATATACATAAAAAGAAAAAAAACAAGAACTAATTTATTTTTAATAATGAGGTTTGATATAAACCATTAGGAATTACTTATCTAAAATTATATTTTTTTAATTAAAAATTTAAAATTTTTAGAAATAAATTTATAAAGAAAAATCAAGAATTAAATTTATATTTTATAATAAATGTATTATTAGGAATTATTTATTTAAAGCTAATTTTCAATATAAAATTATTTTTTTTAAGAACATATAAAAATAAAAAAAATTAATTAATTTTTAATAATAAGATCTAGTATTTGTCATTAGGCATTATCTATATATAATTATTTTTTCGACATCAAAATAATATAATTGTTCGAAAAAACATTATAAAATAAAAAATCAAGAATTAAATTAATTTTTAATATTATATTTAATATTTGTAAGTAGAAATCCCACCTATATTTTTTATAATAAACATTCCATCCGTTTCTACCATAACTAATTATTTAGGTTAATTTGTTCTTTATAAATCTAACCGATGGATATTAAATATTATATTTAATTATTTTTCTTATAAAATTCCGATTAGAAATATATATAATATATATTTATATATATAATTAATTATATAATTTTATAAAATTTTAATATTATTTTTTTAATAATAAATAATATATAAATAAAAAAATAAATAAATAGATAAATAAATAAATAAATCGATATTGTAGATAGATATTGTAGATAAGTATTGTAAATAGGTATTAGAGATAGATATTAAAGATATATATTGTAAATAGATTTTATAGATAAATATGGTAAATAAATATAGTAGATAAATATTGTAAATAATTATTAAAGATAGATATTATATATAGGGTGGATAAATATATAGATAGATAGGTAAGTAGATAGAGAGATCAAGAGATAGAGAAAAAGAGAGAAATTGAGATAGAAATAAATAGAAAGGTGAATCAATAGATAAAAAAGAGAGAGAGAGAGATGGAGAGAGAGGGAAAAAACGAGAGAGAAAGAGAGAGAAAAAAAGAAAGCGAGAGAGAAAGAGAGAGAGAGAGAAAGAGAAAGAGAGAGAGAGAGAAAGAAAAAGAAAGAGAGAGAAAAAGAAAGAGAGAGAAACAAAAAGAGACACAAAGAGAAAGAAACAGAGAAAGAGAGAAATTTAGAGCCGCAACCATCTTTAAATCCATCAGTGGGTTCGTTTTGTCATCCATGCATCACAACAACTTACCTTATTTCCTATAGGTTTCCTATCCTTGAAATTTCGGCCACTGCCTTTTGCGGCACTAGCAATGAATATCAAAGAAGATTATCAGGAAGAAACGGAACCCAAATAAAAGATAATATCAAAAATATCCAAATCTAATATTGGCTTTTTCATGCATTTTATCTGACATATAGGATCATATAGCTCCAGCGCGCCAGAGAGAGGCTTCAAAATCGTGAAATGTTCATTCGTCGTGCCGCGAAGTATTCCAGCTCCGATATGAGAATCCTCTTTCATAACTATATAGTTTTTACTGATATTAATATATGACAATATGTCGTGCGCCAGGGTAGCTACGAAATATCACGTACAATTAACATTAATAAATTATCTGTTTATACACATATAATTATATATATATAATCATGCTTTATGTATCTTTAAGTCATAGAATTTTCAATCAAAGGGCGTTGTCGGCATGGCATTCGTGAGAAGTAAATTCTTCCATCGAATTTCCAAGCGACGCCCGTCATCCAAAGTCACCAAGTATTTCCATGTTTCAGTGCCTCTGGGCTCAGATTGTCAGATTCATTGGAAAAACACCTCTGCCAAACATGCTGACCCAAACAATAAATTCAACAAGGGTCCAAATGAAATAAACAAACACAACGATCTGGAAAATGTAGGGCACACGCCAAGGCATCATGCTTCCACTGAAATGCTGGGCCATTTCTCGTTCGGACAACATTTCAGAGAACAGGTAAAACAACTCAAATTGAGCAGTGTCATCGCAATCTGAAGGTGAAGCATTAAGTTCATTCTCTGGCCATCCGAAGTCAGTATGTGCTTGGCCACCATACTTGAACAAGTTCCCAGATACTGCGGTAATGTTGGATACTGATTAAATTATTAAATCAATGAATCAACAAGTTAAGTCCATCTTCAGTCAATTGCTGCTCCTGGTATGTGGGTTGCTGTCACCAAGCCACTATGGGAAATTCTTATATCTGCCATGTTAATTCCCTATGATTGATGATTGATGGTATGAGCATACCCTAAGATGGCATAATATGTGTGTATATATATATGCATATCTTATTCTGTTCTCTTGTTTCATGGTTAATTCCATTCTATACCATAAAAAACAAAAAACGATCATACAATATCATTTAAAAATATTCATACAAGGTGGCCCCCCTACCAAATAGCTACAGTAAATTGATTTATAACTTGTGAAAACCAGTGTTTTTTTTAAATAACTTAGGGACAGCAAAAAAACAGGTTTTAATTAGTGTAGGCCCCCCTCAAACAATTTTAGTCTACTCAATAACTCGGCATTTTCTTGGGGACCAGGTCTAGGGAAATCAGGATGATCAACTAAAGTAAGGATTTCAATTGAAATCAATCTACCTTCATTTGTTTTCCTTTTCAACCTTAAAAGATTTCTATTGATGAGAACGGATTTCAATTGAAACCTATCTACGTTAAATTGCTTTTCCTTTTAAACCTTAAAGCAATCTATTGATAAGACATGATTTCAATTGAAATCAATTTACTTTCAAATGCTTTTCCTAAACCTCAAAGAAAACTTTTGATAAGAACGGATTTCAATTGAAAACAATTTACTTTCAATTCATTTAGATCTATGTTCAATTGATTTTCCTGTTAATCTCAAAAAAAATTGCACCAAAAGTTTTTGTGCACAATAGGGTGCCATCCAAACAATTGCATTATTGAGGATCTGGGTCACTCATGGGGTACCACCTTGAAAAATTGTCTGGGTGCTGTTTTTTGGCATCTAATTATTTGGGGAAACTTGCATTTTCCCCAAGGCTTTAACATTGATATGGCTTTCTGAAGTAAATGGACCAGCTTTACCCAAAGACAGGTGTATAAAGGTGGATAAAGCTCCCCATGAAAAAATTGGATCCGAGAAAAAACTGCTCACAATAGAGGCCAACCCCCACCATTCACAGGATACTCAATAATTTTGCCAAAAAAAAACTCACAATAGAGGTCCATGGCACTAATCAGTATACTACACTACTCGCATTTCTCATTGGTCAATATTCGTACCTGGTCAAAGTACCTGTACCCATCAAGACAGGTACATATGCAAAACTGCTGAAGTACTACAGTTATTGATATTTATGAGGAGGATTCATCTCTAGTCTAGATGAAAGATCCTATATACATAAATAGTTAAGCATGTTTGAAAAATCAATCTATCTTTCTATCTGTCCATCTCTCTACACATCTATACATGTATCTTACTACTATTAAACTTATTATCGTCATCATTAGTATTCGCATTATTACTGTTATTAGTTATTATTGTTCCATATTGTTCCTATTCTTATTTCTGCAAAGTGGGCAGCACCGGTACGGATCGGTCAGCCAGCCCCCATCTTATTATTCCTATTAAATACCTGTTATATAATGTGGAAAAAAACATAAACCATCCCCAGTCATCACAATTTTTATGTGGTATGTCTACCTTATTATTGTCCTTTTATTATCCTCTTATTATCCGATTATCTTATTATTGTTATCATTCCTATTCTTATCCTATATAAACACCTATTATTTCAATCAACAAATCCATGGGTCTCTCCTTCCCCGGCCCGCCTGGTCCTTGGACCACCCCCGCAGCACCGTTCAGCTTCGCGTCCGCCCGAAGGTCACGTAGCTCCACGCTGTCGCCAACCTGGAACGGCCGCCTGCGCCACGGGGCGGCCAAGGCCCCCGTTTGGATCGTCCAAAACGGGGAGATGGTGGGAACATGCTAGGAACATGCTAGGAAAATGCTAGGAAAAATGGAACAACATTGGGAAAATGCTGGCAAAAAATGAAAATGGATGAAAACAACAGATAATAATGGTGGGAATGAGGATTTTAAAGTACTGAAGCGACTTTTTACCAACAATGGTGATATTATGGTGATCTTTCCTGGAAAAAAATAGCGAATGGTTATGTGGATGGCTTATACTGATGAAATCAAGCACAAATAGAACCTGCCAGATCCTGCCGGTTGGTTGGATCGCTTTAGGGTTGAGAGTCTAATATTTTAGCACCGAATTCACAAGACTTCCTACAAGAAACTGTCAAAGACAGGACCAAAAGTAGATTTATTCCTTTCTGAGCTCAGAATAGTTTCATATATTCTGGAGACTTCCACGTGAAGGTGGGAAAATGGTTGTTGCAGACCCGACAGCCTCTGCAAATGTTCTGGCCACATCAGAATTCTCTGGAGCACAGGCCCACCTACCACAGATTTCGCTGATCAAATGATCAAAGTCTATAGGTTTGAAACTGGTGAAAAAGCCATGGCTCTCATGCCGCAGCCTGGAAGCAAACTCAAAACATCCACCACCAAACGTCCTGATGCAGCGTTTGAAAACTGAACGTGCTATAATTGCAGGGAGGCAGGTGCTGTAACTACCTGCGCTTACACATGACTCTTTCTGCTGACATCTGCGAGCTGAATGTTTTCGACCCAGGTCAAGTGGAATCATCATTTCAAGGGATGGAGGGAAAAACACATCCAAAACCACAAGCCACGCACACACACACACACACCACACACACACACTTATCATTCAAAATATTAAGACCCCTGTCATGGTAGTTCCCAGAAAAATCCCTAGCAAACATCCAGCGGCAGTCCTGATTTCTCATCAAAGCCCAACTCCTTCTCCTGACAGAGGCGGGACATGAGCTAAAAATTGGAGCCAGAGAGCTAATCTGGGAAACCAAAACACGTCACTTTCCAATTCAATGCCTGGGAGATTATTTGTTGTTGAGTTTCCATGATTGTGCAGCACGCCCAAAAAAAGACACAACATGCTGAACCACTATGGCCTTTTGAACTAGCCTGTCTCGCAAGAAGATGCAACGGAAATTTGGTGAAATGTGGTGTGATCATAGCAAGTAGGAAATGCATTTGAGATCACCAAATCACCTGAGATGAGATCGGCCTTTCCCACCCAGTGATGGTGGCTGCTCATGTCCTCTTGAGTCAACATGGACACCACAGCAGCGCGATTTTCCAAGCCTGGCGAACGTGGCTGCATCGAGATGCAACTCGTGGTGACATGAAAAGCGATCCTCTGATAATTTAGACATATAGCTATGGAAAATCCCATAGTTGAACATAGCAATATTATAGGAAATCATCAAACTTAATGCTCACAGTTATATTTACCTATGGAATAAACGTAACTATTTCCAAAAAGGTAGTGACTAGCTATGAAAAATCTCATCGAACTTACGAGTACCGGGGCCTGGGGGGTATGGATCTTTCAATCCCGGCCTGAGTCGGCTGTGGGACTACCCCTGGTAATGCCAAGTGGTCACATGGTATATAGATGTTCATGCCCCATGTCCCAAGAATTCCCTCTCTCTCTCTCAAAATATATATATACATACGGCAGTAACATGTCATAACCTTTGAATGAACAGAATTATCCATGCTGGGCGCCTTCGTGTTCAGTACCAGGCTCAAACTCAGCATCCAAGATTACCTTAGTTGGGCCATGTCCTTGTAAGAAGTCCTCGCTCTTGATGAAACAACAATGGAAATGGCAAGAACCCCTAATTGGCTATGTTTTTTCCATCTCGTGAATTCTCTCTTTTTTGATGGTAGCCTGTTTCATGCGGTCTATTTTTGGCATGCTCGTCCTGGGCCTCTGCCCGTAAGTTTGACTACATGCTTGTTGATTGATGTTGATATTTTGTGTTGGCCTAATCCCCTTGCGCTCCTTGGTGGGAGCTGATTTACCGGTCAAATCATCATGATGCTGGCGTTTTGACACTCCACCGGTGGGCATATTCATACTCATGGTGAAGTTTTTCTACGTTACCTTAAGGGTGCTTTTCCTCATCATGCTACGAACATGTATTTCACTTGGAGCCCTGGAGGTACCGGTCTGTCGCGCGAATTTTGTATATAAAACACGTAGGAGAAATATACGGGTCAAGTCACTGCGGTCTATGACAGGGTTCCTGCCATCATCTTTAGGTTCATCCAATAAATCCGGAAAAACACTGAAAACACACTGGCAAATATATTATATATATCTTATATATATATATGTACACATACATACATATTACACCATATTGAAAGTGGATGACTCCGCGCCAGATCGAAAGTGGGCATATAGTATAGATGGCGCCGGCTTTTGGGTATTTTGACACCAAAACTCCGCGTGACATCACAGCGGTGTGTCATGTCTGGTTGCGCCACGTATACCAAGAATCTCGCAAATCTGAAATTGAAAGTTGGAATGTGTGTTTAAAATGTAGTATCTCCAAGTATGGGGAGTATGTGGGGTTTATGCCATCTACACAGGAGTTCTTAATTCTAAAGGATTGAGAAAAAAATGGTTCTGCCCACTTCGAAAGTGCGCGCATAGATGGTGCTGACATTTGGGAATTTGACACCTCAGTGACATCTCAGGCCCTTTTTCATAGTTGGTTGCACCATCTATGCCAAGAATCTCGCAAACCTGAAATCGAGATCTTTGATCTTTGCTTTTTAATGCTGTTCCCACTGGCTGCCATGCAGAACCTTTGAAATATCTCCAAGTTCGAGGGCTGCGCCATCACACCATCTATTCCTGCATGTTTCCTCCATGCTTGGGTTTGGGTTGGGTTTGCAGGTGCTCCCGCGGAAAGGCAAGATCGATTCCCATAGTGTTTTGGTGGATTTATGGGAGATCCTTCCGTTTTCGCAATGTTTGGGAGGACTTGCAGCGGTTGCGCCATTCTTTGTTTTTAATGTTGTTTTCTCAATACGGTGCCTGGAAACATCCTTTCACTTTCCCTTACATTTTTTGTTGAGCGCCGCTCTCAACCGCCGAAAAAGATTAGATGACCGAATGTCCAGTCCCGAAAGAAGGAAAGTTTATTTGAAATGGGATAGATGGCGCAATTTGACCTGTCTTGTGCATGTAGGGTTACGCAATTTCCGGGCACATTAGCTGTTTCAGGATATGTGTGGGACAGTTTTTTTTCAATACATAAGACATGGCACAACCATCTATCTATCTATCTATCCATCCATCCATCCATCCATCCATCCATCCATCCATGTATCTATGTTACATGTATGTGTACATATATATATATATATAATTTTATAGAGATAAATATGGGCACGGCTCTTTGAGAACTATACATTTCGACATCGAACAACTTTAGCCCCCCGTCGTGATCCAAACTGCCATCCCAGCCGCTGCATCTCCGGGTTTGTGGCGCGGAAACACCAAATTCCGCGGATGCACGGCCACGCGTCCTTGTCCATCTTCCTGGGCTCCCAAACAAGTGGAACTGGTCTGGTGCCCCTAGAGGAACTATGTGATACGAGATGGTCAAACAGAGGGTTTTGAATTAATACTTGCGGGGGATAACAGCCGTTGTGGTGAACAGCCCCTCAATTCATGCAGCGCTTGTTGTAATTATTGATCTTTGAACCGGCCAGAGAGGTTCACACCGTGCCCTGCACCCGCTCTCAACCCTGTAAGTTCATTTCAGTCTGGTGGAAGCCAAACAAAACTTCCAAAAACTCCATCGCACACTATCTATTTTCTATGTGCCAAACCTGTAACATACCAAGCTTTTGTCCATCTGTTTTATTCAAACACTATGTTCCTACTGAACCAACTTAACAGGGGAAAAATGGTAGTACAAGGAGGATTGTATCTGGGGGCAAACCATTCCAGCCATAATTGACCATTATTGATGAATTCAGGCAATGATGTCCTCCAATAGCGCCATTATTTGCAAAGAATGATTGTATCTGTATATGCTTGTGGAACAAAGAATAATCGACCAGCGAGTCGGGAAATGGGGGGGCGTTTATGATCCTTAAAAACTGAAAGTCATCTGCTTCATCAGCATTTTTGGAGACGGAATGGGAGGACATAGCCTCGCATGCTAGGCATGTACGTATTTTAGGCCATTTGTCTAGCCTTGCACAACCCATATTTTCTTGGTGAAGCCCAAACCTACTGATTGCAGTTTGCTTAGACATATTTTAACAGATATCATGTGTATCGAATTGATTCTTCACACTTAAAAGATCGCACCTTGCAGCAAATAAGGATTCAACCATCAACAAAAAAGCAAACTCATTAAACACACCATCAAAAATAGGAGTTTTTGCTGCTGAAACCTGGCTGGGCTGGACTTTTTGTTTGGACATGTTTGGACCATATCTAGTGATTTCCCTGGCTTTCCCTGGCTCCAAGTTTCCAGGTGAACGATCTTCCTGTCTGCAAATTCCTGGGTCTCCTCTGGAGTTGGCTCCACCACTTCTCCGACCAAGCTGTTGAGATGTGATGCCTCCTGCCGACGCTTTTTGATGCAGCCAGGCTTGGTGATATCAATCTGCATTCTTTTACATGTATGTAAACTAGATACACACACGTGATCACACGTGTGTAATGTGTGTATTAATCTCTCTTTTCGGGTTAGATCCTCGAAAGTCTAAGTAGGAACGCAAAACATGGTCGTCTTACCATTCATCGTCTTCTAAGCTCTTCTTGGGGTTGTGACTGATTATGTAGATGTGATGGCAGAAACTGAGATCCCAATGATGTTGTTGGTGGATTTCATTTTATGCAGTATTTGAGGACCACCATACCTTTGTAATCCTCTATGTGAGCATTGGGTACCCAAACATGACCACCTGAAATCACTCATTTCTAGTATACAGTAGATGATTTGGATTTTGAGAATTGCAACCTTCCATTGCCATGTTAAATTCCCTGTGCAAAGGAAATATGCGCATTCGTGAAAAACCCTATGCCCTGGTGAAGACCCCAAATCAAACGAAATGGACTACACATCGGGATGGCAATTCATCAAACTTTGATGTGCTAGGTTTTGATCCATATCCATGGACAATCTTTGATATCCTGTGAAAAACGTTTCTTGGATGGAGATTCTACACTCCCTCCGGAAATTTAACGTAGCTATGATATGGAAAATGGCCCATGTAGTTGGCACACGCCGCATAGACGGCCGTGTGCCTTTCACCATTTCTCAACATTTTCCAGGGTTTTGGCACGAGGTTGATACTACGTCCACGAGGGTCTGTGGGTGGGGTGGGGTGGAGCATGTTAACGTTCCTTGTAAGTTGCACACGTTGTTGATGTTCCGCACCTGCAGGGATGTGGGGCAGGACTGGGGTGGGGTGGGGCATGTTAACGTTCCTTGTACGTTGCAGACGTTGTTGATGTTCCGCAACTGCCACGATGTGGGGCAGGGGCTGGGGTGGGGTGGGGCATGCTAACGTTCCTTGTACGTTGCACACGTTGTTGATGTTCCGCAACTGCCAGGATGTGGGGCAGGGGCTGGGGTGGGGTGGGGCATGTTAACGTTCCTTGTACGTTGCACACGTTGTTGATGTTCCGCAACTGCCAGGATGTGGGGCAGGGGCTGGGGTGGGGTGGGGCATGTGTTGCAAAGAAGTTCGAAGTGGAAGCTGTGTGTCACCAACGCAAAGAATTTACCCGCAAGACTGCTCAAAAAGCTTCCACTCGTCCTTGTCTGGCAGGCACTCAAATGATAGACAGGGCATGGCGTTCCTTAAAGTTTGAATGGCTCCCTGCTCATATCAATGCCACACAGAAGAAGGACGGTCACACTGTTCTTTCTCCAATAGTTTCGGAACTCGTGTTTCAATGGGCTTGGCGACAGCACCAAGGACCCATGTCACCAACTCAGTTCTTCACTGCACTGCAACGTCTCCTGAAACATTGAAAAAAATGGGACGAAACGAAGATACGCAGATGTTCCTTGCAAGAAGTGCTGATGAACAAACGTCAGTGCGAGTTGCAAAAAGTGACCGAAACGCCACGGCCGTCTGTGCGGCGTGTACCTAGTTCGATGATTTTTCTATAGATCCTATTAAACATGGTGATCTTCCAAAACCAGGTGAAATTGCCAAAAAGGCTACTACCATGGCCATGTCTTTCATCGAAAACGGCCAGGAATGTCACCATCCTATCTTACAGAATCCCATCGCCTTCAGAGCAGTGATCTCCACCAATGCGCCCGGCCTAGGCCAAGCCGCCAAGCATCCCCATGAGGCACAGTGTGAGAAAACCGATGCTATAAACATCTAAAACCGTTTCATAATTTGGTTTGTTGATGTTTATTGTTGAATATATCCCCAGTTGGGATGACTTCAAATAACCACCAAATGGTGCATGAAAGAGCTTAATTACCACATTTATCGTTCAAGTCATCGATGCTGCTATGGATCACAGGTTCTTGACATTCCAACTCTGCCAAGTAATGCAGGTTTTTCTCACAACGAGGTTTCATCCTACATGTTCGCTAAAACCCGCTAGAAAACAGGATTGACCTGTCAAGATACTGGGCGAAAAATGCGAAAGCAAACAGAGCGGCTTAGATTACAAATCGCTCCGAAGATTAACCTGATTTGACATATATTTAGCAATGTTTTGTGAGATATGATATTTTGAAATAACAAACGCATAGACATAACCATCACAAACGAGGTGAGCAACAATGAAAAACATTACAATTCTTTCAACAAACAAAGCAAATCATGCATGTTGTTGGCTGACCTTGGATGAGTGAGGGCGGTATAACAAAATCTGGCCAGCAGGGTGTGTTATGACCTCCAAAATTTGATCAACTGGTGAGCTGTATGGTGAACATGGATCAAAGGTGTTCTCTCAAAGTTGGTGGCTTCATCATGTGAAATGGAGTAACTCAATTCAAGAACCCTCCAACCTCAAAACTAGTTGGAAAACATGAGGGTGTGTTCTGAACATTTACGGGCGCCCGTAAATCCACTGATTTATCATCATTACCTTCATTAAAATCGCGTAAATTTGCCACTTTATGACCATATGTTCCCGATTCACCTGATTGAACTGACAAGTTCTAGGGTTATGCCCAACGTTCAGAGACACCCAACAAAACACCCAAATTTACACATTCAAGGGAAAACCACTGATATCCACACAATGTTACACACCCCCCAAATGGTCCCAACGACGTGTAAATCCCCTGACTAGAAGCATAGTTTCTGAGAGGTGTTTAATTTTGGGTTAACCGGATTGTATAAAGATGAGGTGTCAGCCCAAATCAGCATAACCAACGCAACACACAAAACACCCACAAATCATTTATTTCTCGTGACAAAACACATGGACTAAGTCATATCAAGTTGGCTATGGAGGTTTCCTGAAAATGGGGGTAACCACATCAACCAAAATTCATGTGGGTAAAACAATGCCATCAACCAACCATTTGGGAATGGTAAACATACCACCACCTATACAAATGGTGAAATTGGGGATGGCTTATGACATTGTTTTACCCACATGAGTCCATTTTAGGATTGGTTTATGACACTGTTTTAATGGTTAAAGAAAGTTGATAATGGTTGATAATCCACCATTATAAAATAATTAATGTCAACCCCGGATTACTAAACCATGGTTGAAAAAAATAAAGGGGGAACTAGTCATTTCATCTAATGCTTAAATGGTAGCCTCCCAATTGAACAGCCGTTTGGGGATTATTAGTCCAGGGTTGACCTTACTCCCTGTATTAAAGCCTATGGATCCACGGGGGATCCCCATCTCCCCAGGCTGTCCCTTCAACGACTTCAACGGCGCGGCACGGCAGCTGCGCCACTTGGCGCCGCTCCAAAACGCTGGCGCCGAAGTTCCGCAGCTTCTCGAAGAGCGGCGAACCTCGGCTTGGACGTTGCTGAAGGCCAGAGAGAAATGGCCAATAATGTCCTTTTGGTAAAGATAGAGGGGCCGGTTTGGTATACCATCTATCATCATTTACCTGTTGTTAAAGGGGTTTCTTCAAACCCCTCTATTAACCAACCAACCAGTCGGAAAAGGACATCTATGGAAACGCTATATAATTAATGGTCAAATTAATGGGGACTAGTGGTGATTAATGGATGATTGTTCATTAATGATTGTGATTAATAGTGATTAAGATGATGAATAATTATGTGATTAACGGCTCATAATGACTGATAATATTGATGAACAATCATAATCGTGATTAAGAATTAATACTGTGGAATAACCCAATAACAATAGGGGTTGAACCCCAAATCACAGGGATACTATGCAGATTTAAGCAAGAAATATGAGGATAATGGTTTTAACTATGGTAAATAGTGGATTGTAACTATAATATAATTAACTTAATCATCAATGACTAAGAATGGCTAATACATGTTAATAATGGATTCTAGCTTCTAGCGATGGTATTGGGTTTATGGTATTGGGTTTACCATATTATTACCAATCGATTTCGGATTTCTAGTGCATGAAGCAATGGGCAAATAAAGAAAAACATCTTGGAAGGGCTTTCTGGTAGATCTAATATATATATATATACATGTGATTTGTATAATCTATATAATCTATAATTATACATAGTCTGCAAAATCTGTATACTTCATGGTGTTTATGAACCACATTATATCGGCTGGAGATGATGTTGCCCTTCGGTATCAAACACGGCTCGCCGGCTTTTATCGCTGGGGAAAGCTTCGAAGCAAGTGGTGGGAGAAAGGATTTACCGATGAATCTCGCTCTCCCCGCTTTGAAATTGTGCTTGTGGGAGCCTTAGAAAATCTTACCAATGGAGGATTGGGCAACAAACAATGGCTTACGTTGTTTTCCATGATTCCTCCTGAATTGGATGATTTCAACCAGAATTCCATCACAGAAGGTCCTGAGAAGGTAACAAAATGGAGCCAAATGCAACAAGAACAGGGATGTAGTCCACTATAGGAATGGTATACCAGCATACCGAAACAAACAAACCTTGTGAACTGACTCTTGGATATGCCCCTGTGTGAAAGTACCGGATTCCAAACAGGTGGCACCAGGATGGGCCACACACTCGGCCCCATGCCAGCCCTAGCCCCGCCATGTGCAGCGGGGAACGATTCATCATGTCGCTCAGCTGTTGCGTCTTGTCGCTGGATTGCATCCAGGACCACCTCAGACCCAGCTGAGGCAGACTCATTTCAAGTAGGGAAGGAACCTGCATTTACAAGACACGCACACAATCACACACACACACATACATACTTCGATTAGAGGAGAAAAGCAATTAGATAAATCCGAAACATCGTGCCGGACTCAGGAGCTTCGCAACTGCTTTTTCATGTTTCTTGTTCCACGTTTCTATGTCGCACCAATGGAAAAATCATTAAACTACCTTTCTCAATGCAAACCCGTACTTGCCACCACTTGGCGTGAAATGTCGTGCCACATCCGGCCACTCACAATGCAAGTTTTGGGGACGGCATCCACCGAGCCACACTTGCTGTGGATCTGAGAGGAACTTGGCCAATGGATCGGCCGCTTCCCTCCCACGCTGTGCAGCAGTGATGGCTTGGAACGTTTCGTTGGATTCCTCAATGCGACCGGACGTCGGCGAGAAGGATGGCTCTGAGGAAAATCACCAGGGAAACATTCGAAAAGCCACATTGTTTGGCCCTGAGGATTCTCCGTGGCTAGGTCCACGTGCCAGACACTTACAAGACACAAGGTCTCCCGAAGCACAACGTCTCTGATGGCGACGGGTCACCACCAACCACTTACAGTAAATGAACATACTTGCTGCTGTACCTCTAAAATTCTGCCAGACATGTAAACTGACACAAAGAAAAGAGCAACCATCCTAAAGTTGTTGGAAGAGAATGTGAAGCCCTTGGTTGAATCGTGCATATCTCCAAATTCTTGCAGCACCCCCGTGAGACCATGAAAATTCAACGATGGCGGATGTTTCATGATCAATCACTACCATCTTGCCAGAGTCACGGGAGGGTCTGAACTGGCTGTTGGTTGCATTCCACCTTGTATTAAAAAAAACAATCTTATCAATCTTGGTCATCGACCCAGCTAGGAGGGCAACAAAAACTAAAACCATATATCAGCTGAAGCAAACGGATGCAGATTCTTTCAGTTGATCCTCATCTGCCAGCATCTCCTTCAAGATATCCTGCCAAGAGTTTGTGACCTGCCCTAAGCTGAATAATCTCCCTACAATGGTCGAAACTAACGCGGAATAAGTTGATATGGGTGTGAGTCACGAATGGCGGGCGCCAATGGGCCCACCAAAATGATCATCTTGAAATGCAAATTGTGAACCATCCACTGTTGAGCTCAATATATGACCTCGCCCATACTGGGCCCATAACCATATACAGTAAATACCATATAACCTATATATAGTTTCATGCTTGACCATCATTTCCCTCATCAAACATTACCCTTTTGGGACATTCCCAAGTTGAAAAACACTGTAAATCATTATAAATAAGTCATGGTTGGCGGCTTCAAACTTTCAAACATTCCCAAAATAGCAAAGTATCAGGGGAAAATAATCACTCCCCTTTCACTTTCAGTATGACTCACTGAACATAGCTCTTTTTGAAACTACTGTAACCACCTATTCTTGCTTGCATAACTGTCATATCCCATGTCTGTTGCTTCATTAAATTCACCAAATTGGGCTGGTCAGCCCCGAAAAAAATGACTTAGTTGGGATTATCATCCCAAAATGGGGGAGTTGAAAACCAGAACCAACTCTGAACGCACCAAATCATCACGGCTCATGTATACCCATTTGTATACCCCCATGATGTGAAATCCCATGAAATCCCTATGTCAATTACTGTATCACCAACAAGACCAAGCTATGGCTAGATATGGATGCTAAGCCCTGGAGGTCCTGCAGATCTTGCGCGCCCTCAGGTCTCTCCAGCAGTTCTCGAAAATCCTCCGCCTCCAACTGCCTTCGGCTGGAGGCGGAGAAAACCTTCGGCTGGCGCCACGGGCCGCCAGCGCCCGGTGAGGCCGGGTGACTGGGTACAGGGCGAAGCGAAGGGAGGCGTGGAAGATGCAGGCGGCCAGCTGGAACGCCTGGTGCTAAAGAACGAAAAGAAGTTGGGGGGTGCAGTTGGTTGGGGTTATTAAATGTGATTAATGGATATCACTTATATGTATATATATATATTTATATATTTATTACTTATACAATAACTTATAACTATGCATTTTATATCCTGTGAGTAAAGCTGTGGCAAAAAGTATGGGATTAAAAATTAAAACTTTGGAATTACCATACCGGGCATTTTAACCTCCATAAGTTGGGATATAACCCCTACAACTATGGTTATTCAACCCAAGTAGCACTGCACCCCAAAGAATGATGCTCACACCGTTGCAAAACACATGGAAAACTGTTGATAAAATATTGTATCATATCATATTGCGGGTCTTCAATCTTTCTATCGTAGCTGAAGCCTCCCTTTGACCACCCTTCCCGCCCCACCAAAAGGGAGCACCACCGGCCCGCCGAAAATCGCCCCATGGCCAGAAGAGGGGTCAAGCCCGAAAATTCAGGAGTTTTATTTTGCAGCTGGTGGGTGGTTTTGATGACTATCTATTTTCTATGGAAACTGACTGTAAGAAACTTGTGTCCAGGGTTAAAAAAAAAACAGAGTTGAGTCTGGACCCAGAAAACACCCATTCCCATCAAATATTCCATTGATCAGTAGCTTCATGACGTTTCTGTTGACATTAAAAACTTGGTGATATGGGACTTCAGGCCATCCGTGGCGTTCATGGCGCCACGGACAATAAACCACAAGCTGCTGCAAGAAGCAATATATTCGCGGTTCCGCAGAGGTATCTCGTGAGATTCTTACAAAAAGCAACTGTGATATTGATTTATGGTTTTTTAAATCCAGAAAGGGACGCCACCAGGGCCCACAAAATACATGTCTAGAAATTTGTGCTATACAAGGCATATTTCAATGATCTCTCTTTGATTATGTGTTTTTTTGGTGGAGATATTCTTCTATTTAGTTTTTTTGGGTTTAGGGTCCGTTCATTTGGTGAGGAGGGGGGGAGCAAAAAAAAAACACACATACATATATATATATATATATGTTTTGCTTCCCCCCCCAGACTGTGAATAACATCAATCCCTTCTAAGCTCGCTTGAAAGCCTTGAGTGTAGTCGGTTCAACATCTAAAATATAAACAAAAAAGAACTGATGATACCATACTATTACCCTGTCAGGATTGGCAATTGCAGTGGACAAGAACGGAGTACGAAAGGAAGAAACGGATTATGAAAGAAAAAAATCGTACAGTTTTTTTAAGCTAGGGAAAAGGACGGCATATCGACATAACTTTGCAAATTATATATATATATATTAAGCCAGTGGCAAGTAGCACGACGGCATGACGTAGCCTGAGAAACTGCGTGATGTAGCATGAGCAGCTGCCCAAAACAAAACAAAAATGGTAAGAACATTGATTGGAGTTGCAAGGCAACAGCACAATGGGAAATAGCCACACACACATCAGGCTTTATGTGGAGATGGTGTGTCGCTCCATATGTTTGACTAAATGATAGACTAAATCTTTATTGTTCGATCTGCTGCGTGACAGAAATCATGTAATATTTGTGCTTAATTAGTAAGGAAATAGTTTCAGGTATGATAGTATTCAATAACCTTGCTACAAGTATACAATATGTCTATATACCATATAAAAAGCAGTCTTCAAGTAGATATTGATGTCTCAAGAGCTCCTTGTGATATAGGCAACATGGATGTTGCATATGCCATAGCCATATGCTGTATCAGCACACCCAAGGTGCATATGCGTTTTGAATGTCACTGTAGCCATATTAAGTGTGTATATATATATATTGATGAACTTGCATTTTCCTTGGTAGTACTACTGTATGCATCTATGATATGAATGGTGCATATAAGTAGTGCATGCCAATACATACACACATTTTCCACATGTACTTTGCATATGCAACGGAATTCTTCTAGGATTGACTGCAATAAAGACTCTTTGGTTGCAACTGACTTTGATCAAAGGAGTTGGCACATGGCAAGGGCAACTCCAACTTACCCGTTCTCCAAACATATAGGTTTTTCGTGCATATTTCACAGTAATTTGCTATGCCCCTGCGCATCTATGCAGATATCCTGTTACCATAATTGTTTGGCTGTGCTTTTATGACAGGATGAGTAACACCCAAAAAGAATTAAGACTGTTTATAAAGCTGGACAGAAAACAGCTATGACACAACACATTGGACTAGGAAGTAGCATCTCCCAGAATGCATTCGGATGGAAAGGGGTCCCTTCTCCATCCTTTTGATCAATACTCACTCCTGTTCTTAGCTCTTTGATCTATATACTGTATGAAAAGTTTCAGGTGTTGTTTGTGCTTTAGTGGGTGAATGGTTTCAACCAGTATGCAAGCGCATTGCCACAAGTGTGCAGTAGATATACAGTAGAAATGGCAGCTTCAAACATGCACTGATATCTAGAGGGTTTCTTGTGATAAAAGCAATACATTTTTTGCAGATACCATAGCCAATTGCTGTGTCAACACATCCAAGCTGCATATGCACTTAGAATGCAACTATTTTATATATACAATTTTCTTATATAGTACATACAGTTATGGAATGGGTGGCATGAAAGTCACCTATGCCCTTACAGGCACAAGTTTTGTACATTTTTCCTGCATATGCAATGGTATTCTTCCAGGTTTTAATGCAGTAACAGCTCTTTGCTTAAAATATTGGTTGATCACAAGAGTTGGCAAATTCCAAGGGCACTTCCATTTCCCCCTTGCTTCAGAAAAGGTGTTTTCCTGCATATTCCATGGTAATTTGCTGTGCCACTGCAAATATAACGGCATACAGCATACATTTTAGTATCATAAATGTACTCATGACCGTGGGTAAAACTTAAATTATGCCAGTATAAATTTATCATGGTATCCAAAAAGGGCACAAAACCAAGTAAAAGAAACACCTATGCAACCTTACCAAACAATTGTATCTATAGAATGGCAGCCTTGTTTTGTGCATCGATGCAGCAAGTTACCATGAAGTATGCCAAAAAAAAATATTGCAACTACTTGAGCAAGGACAGTAGATTGGAATTTGCACTTTCATTTAATTGCTAAAAGAGTTCCACTGGAACTGTCGTGTCAACCGAAAGGCGACCTGGCTGTCCAATAGCAAAAACCACCAATGCAAATACCAAGTGCTATGTATATATATATATATTATACCGTCTTTGCAAAAGCATGCCTAGGTAGTACCCATGTTTTAATATATACATGGAGTACCAACTGACATCATGAATCTAGCTGTATACCTAGGTAGTACCAACTGACAAATCCTATGAACTTAATAAATACCAAAAGGTATGCAGTAAATGACAAAAAACACAAAACATATGGAAAAACAACAAAAAACTGAAACAAACACGGGCCCTCACAACGTCCCACTCCCTTTAATTTCATGCATCGAGATTGCGTGTTTACAACCCCATAATTTTGAGGCAACCCTCACGGCGGGATTTCGGCTGATGCTCTCATTTGCGGAGCAATGGTCAGCAGGCTCAAAACCACAAAGTACAAACCCAGGAAGGCACCATGCTGGAAGTCCCGAAAGGCTTGCTAAGCTGCTAAGGCAGCAAGAATCACTTCTTGAACTTGGGTGGAAAGACTTTGGATGACTTTGTAGACAATAATTCCAACATTTGCCCAGGTTATTGCCATGGAGTTCCCGGGTCGTCGGTTGGAGACTGGGTAAACGTGTCTTTTTGATTGTTTTTCTCAATCCGTGGCACTTGTCGTCCAAAACCAAGGGCCAGCGATTGCAGGCTTCAACAATAATGGTGAACTATCACATCTTCTCCCTTGCCGAAACTGCAAGTGTGTCCAACAATTTGGCAACTGTTTGCCCAAGACAAACGTGACACTTCACATGGCCCCCCCTGCGCCAATTTTCTCCGCCTCCCACATGTCTTGCCACCGTGTTGCGGTGACGACACCCGGTCGGTCGCTACTCTCAGGGTGGCACGTTTGAGATGCCACCGGCATAAGACCTTTGCGAATGGGGTTGATTGATCCAGAGGATGGGATCAACATCTTCCAAACACATTTTCTTTGAAGCCACCAAACGGGAAAATCGAGAGGACACGGACACAAGTTTCATTACTCTTGGGATCTTTTCGATAATAGCTTCCCTTGGAAGGAGTTAAATCAACAGTGCCAATGCTTGATCATACCATGCGTGTCTCCAAGGATATCTAGGTGCAGGAACTTTCACCGGCAGCTGAATTATGCTTTTTACAACAGCTTGCGCGCTTGTCAAGCGACTGCCGGGGTAGTTTTGGTTGGAATGCGAAGGATTGATTGCATCACCCTTAAAAAATACCCATGTCCCCAATATGAATAGATCCATAGCAATAGTAGACCAGAGTTTCTGGAGGGATGAATTTAGGGGAAGGGAATTACCACATGCTCTGGAGATCTCTGGAGGATGAATGGTTTTGAACCCCATATGTCACATCATCCCCTTCTCAGGCTGCAACACCCAAAACTGACCTCTCCGTAAGGCCAGTTTCACCCCGCTCCTGCCGCGAAAGGCTAACACTTGATGGACCAATGTCAACTCCAAATAAAGTAACTCCTTGCAGGGGGATCATCATAGAACAATTTGGTTCTGTGGAGGTGAGCACGCAATTAACCAGCGTTATTTACGAATCAGTCATTGGCATTTTACACTTGAAAACCGACATTAAAAACCCATGCCTTTTCCCATTAGACGTTGCCACTGTGGGTTACACACGTTCAATTTCTGGACTGTTGTTCCATGAAATCATTCATTCTTGGAGCGTTCAGCACCCTATAGCACCATGTGAAAAAATCCATCTCAGCACAAACTCCTGGGGTGCCAGCCCTACCCACCAGCAACCCCACCCCAACCTCAAAGGGATACCGTTCCTGAAGGGGACGTTTTTGCGGAAGCTGGAAAGCAAACATAGACATAATTCATTTGGCTGTTTAATTTACTGCAAGATTACATACAACACTTGCACATGTTCAGCTTGAGACTACTTCAATGCATTTCAATAAACACCATATAACATATGATTATGATCAATTCGATAATAAAGTTCCAGCTGCATGGGAATGAGAATGCGCCCCAGAAAGATTGCAAGCAATGTATCGTGGTGTGCCCCAGCTGCACTTCTTCTTTTGGTGCTTGATTTCGGCAGGTCAAGTTTTAACGGTACAGTGCTATGCAAGCCAAGGCCGGAAAATTAGAAGACAAGCTCTTCTAAAACGATCGGCCCACATAGAATTTTCCGCTGAATTCCAGCTCCCCAAGGGAACTAACTATCCACTATCGAGGTACTCCTGCAAGAGTGCCCGCACCATCAAATGGCATCACACAAGAGACGTCTTCAACGGAGGCGACGCCTTTTCCACGCACGGATGGCCATTCGTTGGGCGCAGGGTCGTCATCAATCTTCCCCGTCGTCTTCCAACGGGCCTCCGGCACAGGAACCAACCAGTGGATCACAATATTGAAGAAGTTGAGGGTGGAAGCGCTGGCAACCAATGCACCACCTGGCACTGAAGGGCACGCAATGAAGGGCCAAATTCGGTTCCGAACAGACACTATAAATATACACAACGGATCTAATCAATTCTAATCGTACATCCGAATAATTGCAAAAAAACGTAGGATCGGATAATCAGGTTTGGACATATACTCACAAACGGCTGTCAACTCAAGTTGAAGTTATTCCGAACACAATTCATGATTGTGGACGGGGACCATCATTGTGTGGGCCAAATCTTTCTTCGCGAGATATCAGCCACAGGTTGGAAGGTATTCAAAATTTGACAGTACTTCAACCGCCATGTCTTAGTCCTAAACGCTGTTGGATCTTTCTCTGCCATTGCCTATCTGGGACTGTTGACAAATATGCGCCTAATTCTCTTTATTCAATGCGAACCTGGGTTCCAAGGCTGACAATGCCAAAATGTCTAGGATGTTCATGTCATCATTGGACCCATACAAGTCCGGGTACGGAAACCTCAGCCAAAGCTTTCTTCTGGCCAGCATTCGCCAGGTTGGACCACCACTTTTACTTTGGTGGTTTCGGCTCCCTGGAAAAGATTAGTCACTGGGGGTCATGATCCCATTTCTATTTCTATGATTTACCCAAAGCATGTTTGAAACTACCAGCCAATTTTTAGCTTAGTTCACCCACCATTCACCAATGGGTTTTTGCAGTCCGAGGCACCAGTTCCCAGTGCCAAATCGATCTTGTAGGTCTGTTCGGAATCTTCCAGTGGAAACTCCGAGACGCACAAACCATGGAAGATACTGACGGCCAAACACAGCGCGAGCGCACCAAGGACATTGCTACCTGGACGGTGGTCAATAAGGGGTCAGCAGTGTGTGTATATCGTTTCTATGTATGCATTGTACTTTGTGATGTGATGTTACGCTATGATGCACACACCTACACATTATGCATAGGTAATATGTATATTAATATGTATATATATATGTGTGTGTATACATAGAAAGAAATATTATACATATCCATGACCCTCTCTTGTTAAACATAAATGCGAACCACCCATCCCCGTGGTTACGAGTTCCCTCAGCAAATACTGATATTGACCACTTAGATTGTTTGAGGGTGTTTGAGGTCACTATAGATCAACCAGAATCATGCTAAGTTCAAAGAAAGCATTACCAACTACGTGATGCATAAGCTCTGTGTAGGAGGCATGGCAATCACTACACCAATAACAAACACCTGGCACTGGAGAAACTTTTAGTATTAGGGGGCATTCAATATTCGGGTGCGAAGCTTCCCCCTAATACCAAATTTAAAACCTCAATTTTAAACAACTAAACTTGTCGACTTCAAAATCGATTATATAGATCCTTCTTCACATCTAATCAAACATTGCCAAAAAATGGGTTTTGAAGCCTTCGCCCTAATAGAAAATCAAAACAACAATAAAGAAAATTGAAATTAGCAATTTCAAAATCGATTACGGTTCTTTTTAAAGTCTAATTGAAACTATTGCCAAACATTGGATTTCCAAGGTTCCCCTAATATTGAATTAAAGATGCAGCCCATGAACCCGAATGCAGTCACGTAAAACACTTTTGTGACACAAGTTATTTAAACAGACTTGTACATTTTCCTTCTGTTACCGTACCAGTGCACTGTAGACTGTGGAATGCGGAAGAGGGTGGAGTGCAAAGTGTGGGGTGTGAAAACAGTGGAGTGTTGAGTGGGGAACGTAGTGTGTAGAGTGTGAAGTGCGGATTGTGGAGTGTGGAGTGTGAAGTGCAAGGTGCAAGGTGTGGGGTGGAAAGTGTGAAGTGTAGAGAGCGGAATGCAAATTGTAAAGTGGAAAGTGTACAGTGTAGAGTGTGAAGTGTAAAGTGTATAGTGTGGAGTGTGGAGTGTAAAGTGTAAAGTGTGGAGCGCGGGTAAAGTTTAAAGTGTGGAGTGCGGAGTGTAAAGTGTGGAGTGTAGTGTGTGGAGTGTAGAGTGTAGAGTGTGGAGTGTGGTGTGTAAAGTGTGGAGTGTAGAGTGTGGAGTGTAGAGTGTGGTGTGTAAAGTGTAGAGTTTAGAGTGTAAAGTGTATAGAGCGGAGTGTAAAGTGCAGAGTGTAAAGTGCAAAGTGTGGAGTGCAAAGTGTAAAGTGTGGAGTCTAAAGTGTAAAGTGTGGAGTGTAAAGTGTAAAGTGTGAAGTGCGGAGTGTAAAGAATGGAGTGTGGAGTGTAAAGTGCGAAGTGTAACGTGTAAGGTGTGGAGTGTAGAGTGTAGTGTCTGGAGTGTAGTGTAACGTGTGGAGTGTAGAATGTAAAGTCTGGAGTGTAGGGTGTAACGTGTAAAGTGTGGAGTGTAGAGTGTAGTGTCTGGGGTGTAGAGTGTAACGTGTGGAGTGTAGAGTGTAAAGTCTGGAGTGTAGAGCGTAAAGTGTAAAGTGCGGACTGTGGAGTGTAAAGTGTGGAGTGTGGAGTGTAAAGTGTAAACTGTGGAGTGTAGTGTTTGGAGTGTGGAGTGTAAAGTGTAGAGTGTGGAGTGTGGTGTGTAAAGTGTGGAGTGTAGAGTGTGGAGTGTAGAGTGTGGTGTATAAGGTGTAGAGTTTAGAGTGTAAAGTGTAGAGTGTAAAGTGCAAAGTGTGGAGTGTAACGTGTAAAGTTAAAGTGTAGAGTTTAGAGTGTGGAGTGTAGAGTCTGGAGTGCGAAGTGTGGAGTGTCATGGCATTTCTCAACATGCCGCGCCTGCCACGTACTTTGCACGTTTTCACCACTTGACGCAGCCCTGACAATGCGATTCCCACAAACACGCAGCAGCATGCGCCTAAAGTGCTGCGCCTGCCACGCACAAACGGATGGATCTCTGCAAAGTGCTGCGCCTGCTGGGAAAACTGCAACTCATCTTCTGAAAACAACGCAAAAGTATTGCGCCTGCCGCACAAAACGACCTGCGACACTTTTTGCAGACACGTGAGAATATCATCAAGTGCCACGCCTGCCACGCGAAACGAAGCTACGCTACATTTGGATACATGTGGAACCTTCAAAAGTAACCGCTTTTGCAGAACTCAACACAGGCACGGCCATGCGGCCCTCACGCGAACACCTGCGGACAGTTTTGCGAACGGTTGCGGACGGTTGCGGACGGTTGCGCAGCGTCTGGCGAACACAACCCCCAAACCCCCAGAATGAAACGGGAACCCTTGCTACGCATTCGGGAAAAAAAACAGAAGGGACCCTAATAAAAACAGCCCGGTGTTAGTTGTTAGATTTTATCACAATTGTTCTTCTCCTCCTCCTCCTCGGCTAGCTATCCTCCTCCTCCTCTTCCTCCTCCTCGTCCTCCTCCTCCTTCTCCTCCGCCTGTTTCTCCTCGACCATGTCTGCATCAACTTCCACCTCAACTTCCGCCTTGCCAACTCTTGGCCAAGCTCTTTGCCAACTTCCCAGCTCAGTGTGCACCGCTGGACCTCAACCTGGGACCTTCCCAGCTCAGTGTGCACCGCTGGACCTCAACCTGGGACCTGCCCAGCTCAGTGTGCACCGCTGGACCTCAACCTGGGACCTTCCGAGCTCAGTGTGCAACGCTAGACCTCAACCTGGGACCTGCCCAGCTCAGTGTGCACCGCTGGACCTCAACGGCCAGATAGAATGCCAGAAGATATGCCAGATAGAATGCCAGAAGATATGCCAGATCGAATGCCAGAAGATATGCCAGATCGAATGCCAGAAGATATGCCAGAAGATATGCCAGATAAAATGCCATGAGATATGCCAGATAGAATGTCAGAAGGTATGCCAGATAAAGTGCCAGAATGTTTGCCAGATAGAACGCCAGAAGATTTGCCAGATAGAATGTCAGAAGATATGCCAGAAGATATGCCAGATAGAGTGCCGGAAGACAGAACATATGCCAGAAGATATGCCAGGTAGAATGCCAGAAGATATGCCAGATAGAATGCCAGAAGATTTGCCAGATATAATGTATGCCAGAAGATATGCGAGATAGAATGCCAGATAGAATGCCAGAAGATATGCCAAGTAGAATGCCAGAAGATATGCCAGATAGAATGCCAGATCGAATGCCAGAAGATATGTCAGATAGAATGCCAGAAGATTTGCCAGTAACAAATCGGTAAATGTCATGGTGGGGATCACATGAAGTAAAGCATTTTTTTAAACAGGGGGTGAAACCCTCAAATGGGACCTTCACTCTCATATTTTTTCTAAAGGGGATCTATTGGAACTAAAATTGACCAACTTCAAATTTCCCAAAATTGAGAACGGGAGCAGGGATTAATCCGTTTGATGCCCAGTCCTGCTCCACTTACAAATGTCTTGCCTGGGGGGGGGCGGTTTAGTATTAGGGAGCGCGGGTTAACCACGGTTGGCGACCCCAAACTTTGAATGCGCACTTGGAAGCCCCAATTTTCAACAGTAAAGCCATCAAAACCAAAACATAACAAACACATTGGTTAGTGAACTCTGGTGGTTTGGGGCTCTGTTTATCTACGACTCTGTGGAGAAAAAGCCATGAGAGCAACAATCCAATAAGGGGCATCCGAAAATGACAACCATCTTCCGGTGTGGATTTCCTATGCAGCAAGGCCGACAATCCAATCCGCCCTGTTAGCCTGTTAGCCAAGTTTCCAATAGCTACGCTCTTAATACAGTTGTGATCATTTCGGGAGCGCATCCGCTGGATATCTGTCCAAATATTCACTAAGCCAGTGGCAATGGACACGAAAGCCATGGCCGCGCAACCTGCATGGCCAGGCTTAGATGCCATGCGCAAACATCTTCATCTTCAGCTGAAATATTCTTATACATTCCCCAACGCTTGCCTGCAAAAGAACAAAGCCAACCAGCCCTTCACATCCCATCACCGCTCAATTTAGATTCAGAAAATGGATGGATGTGACAGTTCCGAGGGCCAAATTGTAATTGAAAATCACGGTGCAATTTGGAGATGGCCTCTCAATCTAAAGAAATGATAAGTATAGTCCTGCAAATCAATCGGCATTCATATCCCCATTTGAATCAATTATTTACATAAAATCCCCAAATGTCTTGTGGATGAAACACATGCTGCTATCAAATCCACCATGTAAGCCAGCCAAACCAAAACTATTTGTTACATGTTGTTATTCTCTACGTGTGTATCTCTGACACTAGGGCACTGTTACCCTGAAATCAGATGGTTATAAGTTATAAGTTTCTAACTAAGTTATAATTATATAATCAAAAATTACCTCATCAAAACTGCCATTTTGGGATACTCCACGTTTCGACAAACCCAAATATAAGGTTACTGTGTGGATTTAAATATGTCCACCCCATTGTATCTCAAATGATGCCTCATATCATCTCTCAGAATTGTATCCCCAATATTCCCTTAAAATGTTTCATTCCTTATCATTCTTCAAGATCTATATCATTTTTTCCCACAACAAAAATGCTCCCCAAGTGGCCCATCCTCCCATCACACGCACCTTTTGAGGCCCTGTCGCAAATGCTGCAGTACTCACCAGCACCCAGGGAGCTGAGGTTCTCCTCGCAATCGTCAGCACTCCACTGAATGACCTGACGCCAATACGCCACTGCCACCAATTGGGCAATGGGTAAGGTATGGGCAAGTGTATCTATCATTATCTATCTGTTATCTATCTGTTATCTATCTGTTATCTATCTGCTATCTATCTGTTTTCTACCTCTCTCTATCGATCTATCTTTTGATACGTCCATTACCATTTAACATAGCCATGGAAAATGGCCCATTTATAGTTGGTTTACCTATGAAAAATGGTGATTTTCAATGGCTATGTTAAATAACCAGAGGGTACCTCTATCAATCTTTCCACGTGTCTATCCTTTTGTCTATATGTCCACCTGTCAAAAGAACAGCAGGGTCCGAGCCCTGTTAATTTAAGGATCGATGTCTAGGATCAATCCGGGGGTCCCTGCTCAATAATTGTCTGAAAATATTGGTAACTCCCGAATCCGTTGAAATATCATGATGTTCCCTATGACAAATAGCCATTTGGGGGCATATCCAATTTTTACACACAGACCCATATGTCCCTATGTATTCACACCATTCCAACACTGACGCTTTTCTACCCAGGCCTTGTATATGTTGAAGTTCTCACTATCAACAAGGATCGCTTCAAGACCAATGTACACCTGGGCAGTCAAGCCCTCGCAAAGGTCGTTCCTGATACATTCATAACCTGGGTCGCGGTTGCAGTTGGGGTAGCTTCTATGGGTATATGGTATAAGCATGATTAGAAACACCACAAGTGTAAACATAAGCACCAAAACTATAAGTCTTACCAGTGGTCAAAACATTATTGCACATGGGGAACTTGTCACCCAGCAAATTTTAGAAAACTATTCGTGGTGCCCTATGAGGCCCCATGATCATCTCACAATATCACTATAGAATCTAACTTTTGACAGACAACATGCGGATCCGAAGCATCCACTCTCAGTGAGTTGAGACTAACGCTACTCGCACTGCTGAATTACGCCAACTTTACTCTTGGCAAATACATAGTCTGGTGGCCAACCCAGTAGGAGCTGCATAAGAAACAACATGAACTGAGCTCATCCCGGGGTCTCGATGAATCACTTACCCTGCACCGGTGCAGTGGCTGCCAGGGGATTGTGGACCAGGCTGGTGTGATATTCAAAGCACATAAAAATCACCGAATTCTGCAGATTAACCCGTGTGATAGTTTACTTGAAGAATCACACCAGTGAAATCATTTTGCACATCCTACACCCAGAAGATTCCAGAAGTATTTTACCCATTCCAAAAACATCAGTCAATTGGGAATCATCATCTCATGTACTATGGAGAACGAAACGTAGGGCTTTGGCCGACAACGAAATATCCCATTCCATCCCATGGTTGCAAACAAATTTGAAAAGACCATAAAAGACCCCACCATTTTGGACAAAGCAATGTAAGAGACCACCAATCAAAGATATGGTTGTGTTGCTTCTGTATTCTCATGCGATTATGCTTATGTGGACCTAGTCCTCACAATCACATTTGTTTGCTGCTTGAATCGCCAGTATGATGGTGATTGAAGCCTCATGGCTGGGCACACCATCATTGATCCCATATGATTATATGATTGCATACTGCATACAGAATACAAACAGAAGCCTCCAAAAATGTAAAACAGGTAAATTTCATCAGTAGTTTAAAGGATGTTATTTTTCTATCTGTTCGGGACTGTTTTCATTTATACATATATTTATCTATCTATCTTATCTTATCTTATCTATTCTCATCTAATCTATTCTTATCTAATTAATCTATTCTAATCTATCTATATACCTATCTACCTATCTACCTATCTATCTACCTATCTACCTATCTATCTATCTATCTTTCTTTCTTTCTATCTTTCATCTATCTATCTTTCTATCTGTCCATCCATCCTATCTATCCATCTATACAAAGTCCTCCCATGTTGCCAAGTGGCTCCCATAGGCCCAAGGGAAACCATGCAGGTTGCCCATATCCGATGAGAGCGCCGCTGCAGGCATGGCACGCAACGCAATGCTGACCAAAGTTAGGCACAGCGAGACGAAGAGGAGAATCTTCCGCAGGTTTCCGAAGACCTGGAAGCCGGGGGTCAGTGCAATGACTTAAGGGAAGTCTAGAGTCCAAAGGGAAACATGTTTTTTACCATCAAATCTTGGGGCTTCCTGTAGATTTTCCGGTCCAATTGTGGGAGAAGGGCCTAAAGATTCCAAGAATCAGAGGATTCCGAGACAAGAAGTGAACAAATATGGATGTAACCACCCAGGACTTTGGGATTTCAAGAACAATAAGAGGCTTTATGCGAGTAAACATGGCTTCAAAAAGGAGGTGAGCCATCGTGAAAGCGGCACCAGTATCATCCCAATATTGTTCTTTTGATCATCTTCAAAGGCCATCTGTTTGTTTTGAGCATTTACCGATCAAAAAATGCAATGAACAGACTGCCTCCAGATCTTCATCTGCCTAAGTCCACCTGTTTTGACGGATCTCCACCTGGCAACCCCTGCTGCCGCAACAGCGACAACAGCTATTGGACTCGAAGCAGCGGTTCATAGACCCCGGCTGCTGCAAGCACTTGAGGGGTCGGATTTGCGGGAAGGGGATCTTATCCTTGGAATGTGCGCCAAAGAGATGCCCCATGACAAATCGGTGCCCTACCTGGAAATCCTTCCTCTCAAAGACGTTCCAATAAATCCAACAAACAATAGAAAGAACTTACAAACACTTGCATAAATTTAAAGCACTGATTCAAGAGACCAAATCAATATAACCATAATCATGACACAAAGAAATACATATCTTAAGTCTTAAATCCCTTTACTTTAAAACTATTTTTTAATCCTATCTAATTCTCCCAAGTTTCCAAGCACCTCTCCAAGGCATCGCCACATCGGGCACACCGGCTCTTAGTCGTCCGCCTTTCGGACCTTTCGTCGACGGCGGGGCCCCCAACGGGGGGAAGTCCATGGTCGAAGGCAGCCCTCGCTGGCTTCGGTGAAACGGAGGCATCGCTCTGGCCGCCCTTGCGGACATCCTCCTCCTCCTCGATGGTGCTGATATCATCCACATCTGGACCCGACATGAGAAGCTGCGCTTTTTCAGCTGCAGCTCAACTGGTCCGAAAACCGCTAGCAAAAGATGGGGGAGATCTATACTACATAAGCTGAAGAGCCAAGAAACATGGGAAATTCTTGATGGCCACTGCTACGCATGACGCAAAGCATTTGGAGGATGCATGGAAAATTCAGCAGCTATAACTTCCTGGTGGTTTCAAACTCCCTCTACAACATAAGAGAGCACTATTTGATCATCCCGAATTGATGAAAGTAGGGAAGAACTAACAAACACTTCCACGCGCTGAGCTCGAGGCTTGCCACAGCCCCTGAGTGCCCGCACTGCTCAGCATACTCTCCCAAAATGTCTCTGATCTCCCTGCCCGACAGAACTCAAGGAAGGGAATATGCCACGCACTTGTTCTGCCGAAGACTGACATAGGTCTTCAAATTTCAGGTTTATGAGGCAACTTTCTTGCAGAATATGGCTGTTTGCCGTTTCTTGCCTTCCATCCTCAAGTAAATTCATCCCCCTAATATCAAATACCCCCATATAGACCTCCAAAATGAACAAATCAGTACAAAGCATAACAAATCCAACACTAAACCATGGTTTCTAGGGCGGTATTTAAGTTTAGGCGGAAGGGATTGCTAATGTACTTGGGTGTGAAATCTTTCCAACGCTTGATGGATTTTTTGCAGGGGGCAGGTTCACCAGCGAACTGTGCCACCCTCTTCACATCCAGACCATGGTCGAAAGCGCCAAGGGAAAAGCCAGCCACTTATTTTCAATGGCCCGGCTTGCAGTTGGTAACCATGGCAATTACGTCAAACCAGGTAGTCTTCACCAAGCGGGCACGACAAGGAAACAAACACTGAAACCATCAAGTAAATTCCTTGGGGCGATCAAGCAAAGATATGTTGCGTAACAGTTCATGATTGACTATTTGATATATATATATACATAGATAGATAGATAGATAGATAGATCGATAGATAGATAGTACATTCCTTCATTTTATCAACGCAAACAAACAGCCTAACCGATAGGTATTTACCCAACTTCAACCCTTGAAGGCAAGCTCCCATTTGCATTGTATTTGTCAATGCTTCACAGGATGGACTGTCGACTGGGCTCTCATCACGCAGACCTTGAAAACGATTCTTTTCTTCCAAGAGCGTGATCGAACAGTCTCGTGGGTGAACTAGCTCCCTACAGCTCCCTCACACATCAGTCGCATGTATGCGTGCTGGAATCGTCTGGGTCACCTTTCACCTTCTTGCTGCAGCACTTCTCTGAATCGTAGTGCACGTTGTCATCTTTGAGAAGGGGCTTGCTCCCACTCTTCAGGCAACAGTAGTTGCCCTTGGGTCAAAACGCCACCCATCACAATCATCAAAACCCATCCAAATTTCAGCATGCTGCGCAGAAACATTCCGCAATCATCGAAAACCAATACAGTACTGCAAATCAAAGACACAGACTGACCAAAAAAAAACATCATCAGTCTTCAATGAGTCTTCGACCATCTTTTTTGGGGGGGTCAGAATTCAAATGGAAGGATTTTCGCCTGTGTCATCTTGTGTGATCTTGTATCCATGAATCACCTGAGTTTCAAGACCCAAACTCTTCTTGGATCTTTTTGGAAGGGTAACTGGGCTCTGTAGACTCTACGCCAAAAGCTGCTCCACATTTCAGAGATTCCAACACGCACTGTTGCACGCAAAGTTGGTGACAATGAAAAATGCCAGGAAATCCATGGAGGTTTTGGCTATAACCCCAGCAAAAATGTTTGTTTTCCATTTTCTCACCATTTTCCGACGATTTTTTCTGTTTTCGTCCCAGTCTTTACGGAAAGTTCCCGCCTTGCCCTCCCAGTTCTTTTTGCATGTCGTCTTGCGATCTTCCAAGTAGATCTTGCTCGCGCACATGGTGCCGCCGATGGTCTTTTTGCAGGGATCTCCGAGGGCATTTCTGCAATGGCCCTTGTCCCCTTCAGGTTCACACACCTGAGCTGGCCATTGGCCGAAGCGTGCGGCTCTCTGAGAATCTGGTGTGGAAAAAGGGGTTGAACATGTTGAACCAATGTTGAACCAATGTTGAACCAATGCTGAACTAACAGCTAAGATGAACACATCAGTGCTACAGACGGCTGGTGGATGTTGGAGGTCTCAATCCCATTCCCCTCCAGCACATGTGAAATTTGAACACACTTCTATTGCAATCATCCCACCTGTTCGCATGAAACTGAACAGCTTCAAAAACACCTCCGATCTTCTCATGTTCCCAGCCAAGACACAAGGCCGGGTTGGCAGCAAGGCGTCTTCAGCTGCTCCTTCCAAGGCATCTGTGGACATGTGCAAATGCTCAACTTGCCTGGAAGTTTCTCGTGGGACATCATGGGTCGAGCACCGAAGGTCAGCACCCAAGGCGTCACCACAGCAATGAAGCGAAGCATATCTCAAACTCACGGTGAAGCGAAAAGCTGAGCTAAGGAAATTGTGCAAATGCCTTAAGATGCCCTAAGCAATCTTGAGCCAGACCTGGTTGGTAGCCACCACAAAATATGGTCAAATGGGATCATCATCCTATTTGTTGGATGGACTTGTAAAGAAAAGGTATGTTTCAATAGCAATCAGTTGAACAAGATGACGGAGCAACGCGACTGATATGTTCTTCAAACACACACACATATATATATATATATCTTTCAAGTGTTGGACCATGTTGGATAAAACGCATCAGACAGTCGCCTACAGTGGATTGACGCTGTGACTGTGGGTCTGGGCTGAGTGGTTGGCGTTGGTTGCCAGTTTAAAAAATGTAAGAGAGAAGACAAGAAATAAAGCGCAGAAGATTAAGAATATTATGGACCTTTATCAAGATAGGAAGATAGTTCACTTTGGCACCGCAGAAAAGCTGATAAAAGGAATCAGATATCACAGCGACCAATGACGAGAAAGAGAAGAAGGGTGTGAAAGCTTATGATAAAGCAGTTCAAAAATATCAAACTGCTGTGCCAATAGGATGAGGAGAGAACGTTAAGAAGGTAATAAAGAAGGCAGGAAAAGGAAGGAACATAGTAGTGGTGGATAGAAGAGTCAGGAGCAAATGAGCCCGGAACAACTCAAACAATTTTCAGATACCGGTAGATTAAATCTTAGATTTGCCAACGTTTTTAAAGAAAGGGTGTCTGGTAGCAAGTATCTTTACTCTGTAAAATATATGTTGTTTCCACCAGAGAACAGGAATGATGCTAAAAAAGAAAGTTCCATGCACGATGGTAGGAAACAATACTATCCATTCACAATCAATGAAAAGAAAGTATTTACGGAAAGTATCAAAGTGCAAAAGTTTATAGAGATAATTGTTAAAGATAATGGTTGAAGAGAACGGTGGATAAATTTTCTGACAAAGCAAAATTAAAAAAAATGATGGGAATGAGAACTGACAAAGAGTTTGACAGGATGGTTCAAAGTGAAGTGGGCTTTACTATGTGGATATGTGGGTTTAATCATTTTGACAGGGCAGAACTGAGGCAAGCGATGCCAACTATGATAATTTTGCAAATGAAATCACCAACTCAATAACCAATGTGAGTGTTTATCACAAGTATGTGACTACTGAAGTCAACCCTGACTGTCTAAAAATCAAAGACAATCAATTCACAATCCAGAAAGATACACACAGTGAAAATGAATGTTGGACAATTACATTGGCAAACCATTATGCAAACACACTTATGAGAACCAAAAGAGGGAAGTTGGCAAAAAACCAGAGAAAAAAAAACATATTGAAATCATAAAAAAACTGATCGATAATTCAACAGAAGAGGCCTGAAATACGTCAATCGATGGATACCCAACCCAAAAAAATATACTGACAATCATTTCTGCTGATGTCATGGTGAAATTCAGTCAGCCCAAGTGAGCCCATTTTGTCCACAGCAGTGCGTCGATCGAGAAGGGCCAGAGAAGTACTTCCGAGTGCAGTTGCGAAGCGGGCAAGTTCAAGGATGCGCAGGTGTGCAGGTGCACATCCAACCTGGGCAGGTGCTTTGGATGGCTTTGGCCTCCCGACTAGCCCGTGGAAAATCAGGTGGAAAAACTGAGGTGCGGATGGCTTGCAGGATGTTTCCTCCCTGTTCTTCTTTCAAGATTCTAAGCCGTTTACTGACGGAAAGGGCTATGTGAGGATTTGCTCCAAAGATCCTCGGAATATCTTGATCTTTTGCCCTCCATGTCCTCCGTCTCTTCCTATTCTTGGATCAAATATTATGAGAAAAATCATCACCCCTTGTCCTGGCAACAAAATATCCCATCCATTCCAACTGACTTTTCTTGGCGTCGAACATCTTTGAACCCTTCCCACTTTTTCTTGTGGCATAAAAATCATCCCCCCCTCAAACAATTGCGTCAGTTAAAATCATCATTCCATTTCCAGGCTTGAATATCTAACATGATATTGAAACCACCAACCAGTCATCCGTCGTATTGTTGGCATATCTCCAGCATCTCTCATGATATTCCCATATGCCGGAGATATGGCTGGTTCGATGCCCAGAAAATTCCCATTCTCAGGCACACCCATGTATCATTTCTATCCCACTGATGCTCCAATGATATCCTGATATATCCTGATTTGGGATTCTTTAATCTGATACCCCAATTACAGTGCATCTCTCATCATCAAAGGCTGAAACCACAAACCACATGATCATTGGCAAAAAACCACATTATCATCCTCATGTTAAATGATTAAATATGATTAAATATGATTATATAAATGATTAAATCATATTAAATCATTTTACATTTTCATTAAATCCCCATATTAAATGAGTAAATCCCCATTACATCCCCATATTCGATGATGAACATCATCATAAATCCCATATAAATCAATATAAATATAAACCTAAAAATACCATATATAAAACCCATATAAATCCCATATGAATCCCATATATAAAAATCCCATATAAATCCAATATAAATCAATATAAATCCCATATAAATCAATATACTGTAAATCAAAATAAATCCCATATAAACCAATATAAATCCCATATAAATCCCATATAAATCAATATAAATCCCATATAAATCAATATACTGTAAATCAATATAAATCCAATATAAATCAATATAAATCCCATATAAATCCCATAAAAATCAATATAAATCCCATATAAATCAATATACTGTAAATCAATATACAGTCACCGACAGAATTATGGAAAAAAAAACGTTTCAATTTACAGGCGCCGCCTGTCTATGATAGAAAAGTTACGAACCTTTTTTTTCCATAATATTTTTTCCATAATTACTTTTTTTTCCATAATTCTGTCGGTGACTGTATTACCATCGATTCGCAATTTGAATGCATTTTAAGGGGGAATATTGAATTGTAGAAAATATTGGGTTGATACTACATACTTGCATTTGCATACATATTTCCATAACCCCCAAAAAAACGGGTTTGAATTGCGGATCCATGACATGTCCAACAGGTGGAGCCCCAAACATTAATTATGGACAAAAATATTTATGGAAAAAATAATTATGGAAAAAATAATTATGGAAAAAATAATTATGGAAAAACCGGTCAATCTGCCCTAGCCCCCTGATTTCACAGGAAAAATCAATTATGGAAATAATGGCCACCTCCAAGAATTATGGAAAAAAAAGGTTCGGATCACTTCCGGGATATTTTGAACCCTTATGGGGAAAAATCCAATTATGGAAAAATCGGACGCAGGCGCCGCCTGTCTAAGTTGAACGTTTTTTTTTCCATAATTCTGTCGGTGACCATAAATCCAATATAAATCAATATACATCCCATATAAATCCCATATAAATCAATATAAATCCCATATAAATCAATATACATCCCATATATCAATCCCATATAAATCCCATATAAATCAATATACCGTAAATCAATATCAATCCCATATAAATCAATATCAATCCCATATAAATCAATATACATCCCATATAAATCCCATATAAATCAATATACCGTAAATCAATATCAATCCCATATAAATCAATATCAATCCCATATAAATCAATATAAATCCCATATAAATCCCATATAATTGGTATATTCTCCCCAAAAGTCATCCATCAAAATCCCCAAGGCACTGCAAAGGGCTGGGTCGTGCCGCCATCTGCGCTTTCCAGGCGTCGCACTCCGCGGTCTGCGCCTCCAGCGTGCGCAAGGCTCGCAGCGTGCCGAGGCGTCGATGACGGCGTCCGAGGAACGCGATCAGGGCCGTCCTGGTGATGTCGAGGCCGTCGAGGTCATGGTATCAACATGATACCTTCAATGTGAGGCCCCCCAGTGATGGAACGTTGGTTAACAAAAGCCCCAGTAATAGTTATATATATATATACCATCTACTCTCGAACCAGTGGGATTTCAAGGTTTTTTGTTGATATCTTGGTTTTGGCATTCATAACCCAGAAATCTAAGCCATCCAAAAAACATCATCAAATAACCGGGTTTTCCATATATGCCCCATTTAGCCACCCAGGTGCCTTGGCTGCAAGAGGTTCCACCAGCCATTTTGGCCATGAAAACAACGAACATCATATTGATGATGAGATAATAGGATACCAATCAAGCACAATTAGGAATAGCCAGAATGAACACTGGATTTCAAATCATGGATAAACCTTCCAGATGCCATTGAACATCTACAAGAAGTGGTTGACTTCAGGAAGATGTAACCATATTAAGGCTTCAGGCCTACATCCCATTATTTTGACTGATATCGTAAAGAGCAATATTATGTTCACTCCCGGTGGGCAATTGCCCCATGATCTTTTGCACTGCTGCGATCGCACAGATTGTCAAGAACTCAGCTGACATGACCTGCCGGACAAAGGGTCCCATTCGCTCATGACTTGGCTCGAGCCGGTAGGGCTGAATACAGCTGATCTATCGATCCTTGAAAAATGTATTCAATAATTTATCAATGGGGTCATGGATTGGATTGCGGATTCTTGAAACAGACACATCAACTTACATAACATTCCTTAATCAACTTAGCTGATGTGAGTTCAAACATGTTGCGTGACTTGGCATGATTGGCATTGTCAATTTGAACAAAGCATGCGTTTCCCCGGCTAGCGATTTTGCCCAACGGGATCCAGTGGTGTTTCCGCAGCTGGAAGTGCCATGCCTCGACGAAGTGCTGCAGATCCCAGGCGACCGGCCTGCAGCATTGATCGGGTGCATCGAGAGTGGAAGGAGGCACCAGCTGTCAGGTTGGTGTCAGTCAAACGGGACCGGCTTTTTGAATCCTCCAAAGACAAGGACAATACCACAGCTTCAAGCATCAAGTTTTGTATCAAAGATGCTGTTCACAACCAATTTGTCCTTATCCCTCTACTTGGACGCATGGCAGCTCATGAGACACACCCTCTACCACCCTTGAAAGCCCTGGCACAGGAGACCCTTGGTCTGTATTTCTAGAATTGTCAAGCGTTACTGTACTTGAGCTCACATTGAAATTTTGGGTGGTTCAAACTTCAAATCTGTTGTTATTGAATCAACATGTTTTACCACGTGTGTACATTCCCTTCTTGGGTGATCCTAGGATCAAGTTGTTCCGGCACAAGATGAGCTTGGTTTGTCAAAAAGACCGGATTAAACTGGATGCGTGGACGGCCAAAAGCATGCTATCCTTCATCAAAATGAAGACCCATAAGAACTTGGGTTCGGTGGATTCTTGGATGGATTCAGTTGTTCGAAGGTTTTTAAATTTGGTTGGATTCATCCCCAATTATATTGAAAGCCCTACACAATTTATAAGTTGAAGGCCAGACAAAAGCCTATATACAAATCTTCGATATCTAGTTGACTTGATTCTCTTTTGGGGCAAGCTATATAACTTGAATCTAGAACATATATGGTGGAAACAGAATCCGCTCCTTGATCCAGGATCTGGACTTTCTGGCCCTCCAGCGCATCCTCAATCCTGCGATCCAGGCTTGGTATGGGGAATGTATTGCATGAACTGTTATTTTGAAAACTGCAGTATATCCACACATCGGCCCACATTAGTTGATTTGAGGTAGTGGTGAGTACTTAAACTTGGCCTTTGGGTGTCTTAAAATTGCGTATCAACTCATGTGTAGCTATTGAAGTCATGAAATTTGACTTTCACAAATCAACCTTTGATTCCTTTGATTTAGCAAATGGTTTAGTTTTATGCTTGTTGTATTTCCGGACCCTTAAGTATTATATTAATTGTCCAGGTTTGCATCAACTTTCATGTATGAAAATGAGAATCAGAGATCCAGCATATAGACCTTCACTATTCCCATTGATTCTTTTGACCCTGACATTATGAACCTATATAGTCCTTTCTTGTTGTCTGCTTGCTTGCAGCCTCGAAATCGACTTCCAGCTGATGGTGATCAACCAGATGATTCTGATGAAGATGGTGATGGACTGTTCTTACCGAGGGATGAGGACGGGATCACTATGGGGCCTGAGGACCATGTGGTGTTCAACCCTGATGATGAGTCGGGGAGCGACGATGATGGATGGTTTGATCAACTAGTTGAGAGGAAACTAAGTGATCTGTCTGATCTTGGTGGTGATTCCCAGCCCCTAGAAGATGGCATCCATGCTGTCACTGATGACACCCAACAAGAGCTGCACGATTTCATGGACACTCAGCTGCCCTTTCATTCGCAAGTGCTTCAGATGGATGAGAACTTGTTTGACCCTGATGCCAAAGGTGGGGACAACATGGAGGAGGTTCGCCCTGTTGCACGCCCCTTGAAGTTGTCTGAGGACAGTCTTTTGGGCCCAGCTCCGGAAGCTATCACACCTGAGAAGCCTGCCTATGTGGAGATCCTGGATTCCCCAGTTCCCATGCCTGCAGTTCCTCCCACCAGCAAGGAATGCAAAGCAGAGCGCATCGCACGTTTGCAAGCCCAAATTGCAGCTTTGGAAGCTGAGTTGGATACCACACCGTCCGGAACCCCAGTTTATTGGTGTGGGCCCAAGTGGTTTAATCTTGTGTTTATTTATCCAAGAATGTTGTAGTGTAGAGTGCTGCTTTGAGACTTTGAGCGTTTTGTGATTTAGAATTGTATGCACTTCATAAAGTTTATCATGAATTTATTTGTGACATACATGCATGTGAATGACAAACCGCAGAGCCAGCTGTATGGAATATGGGATTGAGATCCTGTGAATTTCTCTAACTTTTCCCAACTAAGGCCTGGCCACAAGATCAAGTTGCCTGAGGTGGTGTCCGCTGGATCTAGCACAGATAAGGTGAATGTATGGCATGTCATGGACTCCTTACCTATGGCGCATGATGCTGACCAAACCCTCCCCATGACCACGGATGAAGAGATTCCAAGCTCTGTGGGGGTTCTTCTAATGAAGGAAGACATGGAAGTAGCCCAGCACATGGAACGGTTGAAACATGATTCAATGACCTTGGACCCTGAGAATGAGATTCGTCCCAAGGCATGGTTTTTGAAAACAGCTATGGTGCATGCATGTATTTATCTTATGATGCATCTTTGAAACTGTTTAAAAATCATCAAATAGATTTATTATATAAATTATCAATTGGTTTTTGAATTCATATTATATATAGGGGATACTTAAGACATCCTGGGTTCAAACAACATTCCTGCTAGGTTCTCACTCGTCGAGAGCAACTTCGAATTGCCCAGGAAGAGAAAGCTGACAAAGCGGAGAAGAAGACCGTTTCCCGGGGAGGCGGACGTGGGAGAGGTCGTGGAGGACGAGGGAGAGGAAAGAAAAGCATTGGGGAATCTGAGGCTCACTCTTCTGCTCCTGAGATTGTTCCAGAACCTCACCAAGCCACCCCCCAAAAGGGTTCAAGTGGTGGGGACATGGATGCCAAAGTTTGCAACAGACCAGCTGAGCAGCAAACACCAGAACGCCGACAGCTTTTCCGTGATGATGATACCAACATGTCCCCATCCCCAGCGAAGGTTGTTTCGCCTCCCATCAAGCAGCCCAAGAAAAGAGCTCGAGCTGCGGCCAAGCCCAAGCCCAAGGCCAAAGCAGCGGCATCGACTGCAAAGGTGGAGGACATGAAGGAAGCTGAGGAAGGGAAGTGCACAGTAGAGGGGGAGACAGGTGAGGGTGGTGAAAGTAATGACAAAGGGGAGAAGGAAACCAAAAGCATGCGTGCCCCATCGGAGAAACTTAAGAAATGGGCCTTTGACACCTTGACCGCAGCAAAGGGTGATCCAGCCTCATGGTTTCATGCCCAGAAACTTTTTGAGGGTGTCAAGCAGACTGAGAAATCTTGTTTGGCGAAGTGGACCTATTGGCAGAACAGCATGTACTGGACTACTCGTCGTGTTGGAGTTCTTCAAAAGCAGACCCTGGGGGGAACAAAACATGTGCTGAGCTTTGGTGGTGGCCACTGCAAGCATATCGGTATTCCATTTGTTGCAGCGGAGTTATTCGTTCGCAACTTAATTGCTTTGAGAAGCACTTGCCAAAACATTTCGAGATCTAGTCCAGTACTTGCATGTGCATGATATGCATTCATGGTATGCATGTACATCAAGTGACATGTGCATTTAGGCAGTGGCATGGTCTTATCCAAAAACTTTGTTGGTGATATCCAGCTGTAACTTGTTTGATCCATTGATATCTCAATCAATATATGGTGTGAGTTTAAGCTAGTAAATTGTTTTAAACATGTGCATCCTCTACAGTCAAACATGTACGAAACTGTCTTGAAGCACCAAAGGTATGAAGTCTTGATATTATATAGGACTTAACCCAACTAGTTGTACTTTTGCCCAGGTCAACTTCATGGGCGACAAGGAAGCTGAGAAGTGCAAAAAGATTGATGATGATGAGGTGGTGGCCTACAAAAAAGCGCTTACTGATCTCGTGAAAGCAGTTTCGATTGCTGATTCCTTGGGAAAAACCCTTGGGGACTTCAACCACTGAATTGGCTTCAACATGAAGGGTTGAAAAATCTAGTTTCACGGAAAGTGTTCCAGTCATTTGAGCATGCTATAAAACTATAAAGAATTTTCACCTCTGTGTTTCCTAGATCGAGCTGACATGTGTGTATGTACCATTATTATGTACCTACGGTTTTGTTTCTGAAATGCTGCCAAAGCCAGTGGTAGTTTTAGATCTAGATCCAGTGACTTCAGCCGGTGTGCAAGTGGCACTATCAAAACTTGAGGTATTTCAGGCCTCATGCTTGCGGGAGTGGCTTCGTAGGTAGCAAGTGCACAATAGCTGCTTC